CCCTCCTGCCCCGGGCCAAAAGTGCCTGGAAATGGGGAAAAGCAGCTTTATTGACGCGGGGATGGGGAGGGGGTGCGGCACCGGCGGGGTGCGGGGGTCTCCGCAGGGGTGCAGGACCTTGGGACGGGTGCAGGGTCTCGGCGTGGGTGCAGCACCCTGGTGCAGATGCAGCAGGGTCTCGGCGTGGGTGCACAGGCTCAGCATGGGTGCAGCACCCCACCGTGTGGTGCACGGTCTTGTGGTGGGTGCAGGGTCTCGGCGTGGGTGCAGGGCCGCGGCATGGGTGCAAGACTTTGGCATGGGTGCAGCACCCCGGTGTGCGTGCATGGCCTTGGTGTGGGTGCGGGACCCTGGTGTGGGTGCAGGACGCTGGTGTGGGTACACGTTCCTGGTGTGGGAGCAGGATCTTGGTGTGGGTGCAGAATCTCGGCATGGGTGCAAGACCCCAGGATGGGTGCAATGCCCCGGAGTGGGTGCAGCACCCTGCTGTGGGTCCATGGCATTGGTGTGGGTGCAGGACCCTTGCATGGGTGCAGGATGCTGGCGTGGGTGCAGGACCCTGGTGTGGGTGCAGGACCCCAGTGTGGGTGCAGGACTCCAGCATGGGTGCAGGGTCTCTGCATGGGTGCAGGACCTTGGCATGGGTGCAGGGTCTCGGCGTGGGTGCACGGTCCCAGCACGGGTGCAGGATCTTGGTGTGGGTGCATGGCCTCAGCGTGGGTGCTGGGTCTCCGTGTGGGTGCAGGACCTCGGCATGGGTGCAGCACCCCGGTGTGCGTGCATGGCCTTGGTGCGGTTGCAGGATGCTGGCGTGGGTGCAGAGTCTCGGTGTGGGTGCAGGCTCTCGGTGTGGGAGCATGGCCTCGGCATGGGTGCAGGACGCTGGCGTGGGTACGTGGTCTCGGTGTGGGAGCAGGATCTTGGCGTGGGCACAAGCCCTTGGCATGGGTGCAGCACCCTGGTGTGAGTGCACGGCTCTGGTGCAGGTGCAGGGTCTTGGTGTGGGTGCAGCACCCCACGTGGATGCAGGACCCCGGTGTGGGTGCAGGATGCTGGCGTGGGTACGTGGTCTTGGTGTGGGAGCAGGATCTTGGTGTGGGAGCAGGATCTTGGTGTGGGTGCAGAATCTCGGCATGGGTGCAAGACCGCAGCATGGGTGCAATGCCCCGGCGTGGGTGCAGCACCCTGCTGTGGGTGCATGGCGCTGGTGTGGGTGCAGAATCTCGGCATGGGCGCAGCGCCCCGGCAGCTCCCTGCTCTCCTCCCTACCAGCCGCGGACGGGGTGCCAGAGCTCCACCACCTTCCCCTCGGCGTGGACGTAGTAGACAGGGTGCATGGCGGCGGTGGCGCAGGCCTGCGGTGGGTAGGGATGCTGAGCCGGGCGTGGCCGGGGCGTGGCGGGGCGTGGCCGGGCGTGGCAGGGCGGGTACTCACGTGGAAGGGGATGAGAGCCAGGGTGCTGCCCAACGGGAAGCGCTCGAAATCCAACCGTCCATCGATGGCCTCCACCTGCCCGTGCTCCTGCGTCAGCCCCACCAGCCTGCGGGGACACGCCATCATGTCCCCGCCCGTGCCTGTGTCCCCGTCCCCACCCGTGCCTGTGTCCCCGTCCCCACCCATGGCCCTCACCTGAGCTGGGGGTGCCCCTCGATGGCGGCGCAGCCCAGGGGCGCCTGGTCCCGGCCGTGGAGGCTGAGGGCTGCCCACCCGCAATCCACCAGCAGCTGCTTGCGGTGGGGGTAGTGACCGATGACCCTGGTCAGGACGCGGATGGCCACCTCCTCCGGGCGACAGGAACCCAGCTGGGTCTGCTGAAGGTCTGGGAGAAGAGGGTGCCCAGCCCAGGGTGGGGGTGCATCCCACCCTGGGGTCCCAGCAGCGTTTGGGGGGGTCCCGACACACTCACCGTAGAAGAGATAGTTGCCCGGGTGGAGCTCGGTGAGCTGGGCCATCTCCGGCACCGGGTGGCTGCAGGACGGCGTGGAGCCGATGCTGGCCTGGGGACACGGCACGCCTGCCTGCCGCAGCCTGCCGGCACACGGGACCCTCTGAGCGGCCGGGGCATGGCTGGGGGGGGACATCACCCCCAAGCACCGTGGGAGGGGGAGCAGAGGTGGGGCCATCACCCTTGGGAACCATGGGAGCGGGAGCAGAGGTGGGGGCCATCACCCTTGCGTGCCACAGAAGCAGGACCAGAGCTGGATCCACCACCCCTGGGCATCATTGGAGTGGGAGCAGAGGTGGGGCCACCACCCTTGGGTGCCACAGGAGCAGGACCAGAGGTGGGTCCATCGCCCTTGTGTGCCATGGGAGTGGGACTGGAGGTGGGTCCATCACCTCTGGGCACCCCAGGAGAGGGACTGGAGGTGGGGATGCCCCAGGGAGCCCCAAATGTGCCAGGGAGCCTCCCCCAGATGTTTAAGGGAGCCATCCAGATGTGAGAGACCCCCCTCCCCCCGCCACAGTGTGCCAGGAGGACCCCAGAATGTGCTGGGGAGCCAGCCAGATGTGCCTGGATGCCATCCAGATGTGCTGGAGACCCCCCCAGATGCAATAGAGAGCCCCCCCAAACACTCACGGCAGGTTGTCCACCCCAGATACGCCAGAGCACCCCTCCAGATGTGGCTGGGGCCACCCCCAGATGTGCCCAGGACTGAGATCCACCCATATGAGCTGGAGATCCCCCCCCGGTGTTTCAAAGCACTCCCAGATGTGTCCGGGAGCCCCCAGATGTGCCACAGTGCCCCCAGATGTGTTGGAGACCCCTCCAGATGGTTCTGGGAGCCTCCAGATGGTTCTGGGGGTCCCCAGATGTGCCAGGGTGCCACCAGATGTGTCCAGGAGGCCCCAGATGTGCCTGGGACCCCATCCAGGCATGCCATAGCACCCCCAGATGTGCCTGGGATCCCCCCCGAGGTATGCCAGAGCCCCCCAGATGTGCCAGGGCACCTCCAGATGTGCTCAGGAGCCCCCAGATGTGCCTGAGATCCACCCACATGAGCTGGAGAGCTCCCCAGATGTGTTAAAACGCCCCCAGATGTTGCAGGGGCCCCCTCTGATGTGTCAGAGCCCCCCCAGATGTGCGCAGGAGCCCCTAGATGTGCTCGAGCACCCCCCC